ATCAGTCCAAGAAGGGGTTCTTGCCTGTATTGCAAGGTGTGAGATTGAGCTCGGCTCAATGCCCGACCATGGCAAAAGATAAAGAAGAGATGAGTGTCATCCCCTATGCTTCAGCCATAGGATCTATTATGTATGCCATGCTGTGTACCAGACCTGATGTAAACCTTGCCGTAAGTTTGGTAGGAAGGTACCAAAGTAATCCCGGCAAGGAACACTGGACAACGGTCAAGAATATCCTAAAGTACCTGAAAAGGACGAAGGACATGTTTCTCGTTTATGGAGGTGACGAAGAGCTCGTCGTAAAGGGTTACGTCGACGCTAGCTTCGACACAGATCTGGATGACTCTAAGTCTCAAACCGGATACGTGTATATGTTGAATGGTGGAGAAGTAAGCTGGTGCAGCTGCAAGCAGAGCGTCGTGGCGGGATCTACATGTGAAGCGGAGTACATGGCAGCCTCGGAGGCAGCGCATGAAGCAATTTGGGTGAAGGAGTTCATCACCGACCTAGGAGTCATACCCAATGCGTCGGGGCCGATCAAACTCTTCTGTGACAACACTGGAGCTTTTGCCCTTGCCAAGGAGCCCAGGTTTCACAAGAAGACCAGGCACATCAAGCGTCGTTTCAACTCCATCCGTGAAAATGTTCAAGATGGAGACATAGATATTTGCAAAGTACATACGGATCTGAATGTCGCAGATTCGTTGACTAAACCTCTCTCGCGAGCAAAACATGATCAACATCAGAACTCTATGGGTGTTCGATTCATCACAATGTAACTAGATTATTGACTCTAGTGCAAGTGGGAGACTGTTGGAAATATGCCCTAGAGGCAATAATAAAAGGGTTATTATTATATTTCCTTGTTCATGATAATTGTCTTTTATTCATGCTATAACTGTATTATCCGGAAATCGTAATACACATGTGAATACACAGACCATAACATGTCCCTAGTGAGCCTCTAGTTGACTAGCTCGTTGGTCAACAGATAGTCATGGTTTCCTGACTATGGACATTAGATGTCATTGACAACGGGATCACATCATTAGGAGAATGATGTGATGGACAAGACCCAATCCTAAGCATAGCACAAGATCGTGTAGTTCGTTTTGCTAGAGCTTTTTCAATGTCAAGTATCTCTTTCTTAGACCATGAGATCGTGTAACTCCCGGATACCGTAAGAGTGCTTTGGGTGTACCAAACGTCACAACGTAACTGGGTGACTATAAAGGTGCACTACAGGTATCTCCAAAAGTGTCTGTTGGGTTGACACGGATCGAGACTGGGATTTGTCACTCCGTATGACGGAGAGGTATCTCCGGGCCCACTCGGTAATGCATCATCATAATGAGCTCGAAGTGACCAAGTGTTTGGTCACGGGATCATGCATTACGGTATGAGTAAAGTGACTTGCCGGTAACGAGACTGAACGAGGTATTGGGATACCGACGATCGAGTCTCGGGCATGTAACGTACCGATTGATAAAGGGAATTGTATACGGGGTTGTTCAAATCCTCGACATCGTGGTTCATCTGATGAGATCATCGAGGAGCATGTGGGAGCCAACATGGGTATCCAGATCCCGCTGTTGGTTATTGCCCGAGAGCCGTCTCGGTCATGTCTACGTGTCTCCCGAACCCATAGGGTCTACACACTTAAGGTTCGGTGACGCTAGGGTTGTATGAATATGAGTATGCAGCATACCGAATGTTGTCTGGAGTCCCGGATGAGATCCCGGACGTCACGAGGAGTTCCGGAATGGTCCGGAGGTGAAGAATTATATATAGGAAGTGATATTTCGGCCATCGGGAAAGTTTCGGGGTCGCCCGGTATTGTACCGGGACCACCGAAAGGGTCCCGGGGGTCCACCGGGTGGGGCCACCCATCCCGGAGGGCTCCAAGGGCTGAAGTGGGGAGGGGAACCAGCCCATAATGGGCTGGTGCGCCCCCCTTGGCCCACCCCCTGCGCCTAGGGTTGAAACCCTAGGGTGGGGGGCGCCCCACTTGCCTTGGGGGGTACTCCACCCCCTTGGCCGCCGCCCCCCTTGGGAGATTGGATCTCCCAGGGCCAGCGCCCCCCCTAGGGGCCTATATAAAGGGAGGGGGGAGGGGGCAGCCGCACGATGAAGTTCTGGCGCCTCCCTCCCCCTGCTACACCTCTTCCTCCTCCGTCACATGCTTGGCGAAGCCCTGCCGGAGTGCTGCTGTTCCACCACCACCACACCGTTGTGCTGCTGCTGGAGCCATCATCATCAACCTCTCCTTCCCCCTTGCTGGATCAAGAAGGAGGAGACGTCATCCGCTCCGTACGTGTGTTGAACGCGGAGGTGCCGTCCGTTCGGCGCTAGGATCTCCGGTGATAGGATCACGACGAGAACGACTACTTCAACCCCGTTCTTTTGAATGCTTCCGCTCGCGATCTACAAAGTGGTATGTAGATGCATCTCCCATGACTCGTTGCTTAGATGAACTCATAGATGGATCTTGGTGAAACCGTAGGAAAAATTTCAATTTTCTGCAACGTTCCCCAACATCTTCTTCGTCTTCGGAAAAAAATCCCTTCCCTCCCCAGTCAACTACGCGCAGAGCAGCCCGCGCCTGTCCGATGAGATCCTAGCGGCTCACAGCGTCGTGGTCGTCTTCCAGCACGGGGCGCGTGGTTGCAACATGCCTTCGCCCCGTTCCAGCGTAGATGCTTGCCATCCCCAGCACTGGGTTCCCTGCCTACCTCATCCCGCCACCTCACCATAGAGGCTTGTCGTCGTCACCATCGTCTCGACATCCACTGTTGGCGGTGTGTGGTCACTGTGGTTCCAGCATATGACAAACACGGTTCCGGCATCTAGCAGAAACAGTTGTGGCATCCGGCGCATGGTCACCGCAGTCAGCACCCCGTCGTAGCAAAAATTTCTGCACGTCGTAGCACTTTCAATCACCGGTCGTAGCATATTTTGGTGCCGGTTGTAGCATCGCCAATCGCTGGGTCGCCGACACCTCACCTCATCCCCTTGTACCACCTCAGCATGTCGGTCGTAGCATCATGGGTCGCGAGTCAACTGGACCACGCCTTCACCCCACAATGTAGCCCTTGGTTTGCCGTTTCCAGCACACCACAAAGGCGGTTCCAACATCTTTCATGGCAGATGCAGCACCGCACCAGGTCGGTTCCAGCATGGTCGTTGGTCGGTTCCGGTAAAAAACGATGCTAGTTGTAGCACCGTGCCAGGCCGGTTCCAGCAAATCTTGCTGTTGGTTGCAACACCGCATCAGGCCAGTTATCCATGCCCACCGGTGCTTCGGATCCAACAATGGCGGCGACGCGGAAAACGCAGGTTGCTGCTCCTCTTATTGTAGATTTTTGACATCTCATCACGACGGCACGCACAACAACGATGTGCTTCTTCAGGGGGAGTGTGCCTCGTACAACAGTTCTAACTATGGCGGCTGAGAAAAAAAGAGCAGGAGAGCAGGGGCCGTGGCGGGAGGTGGAGAGGAAAAGGGGGATGGGATATGCGCATGGGTGAGTGGCCAGCAACACGCGACAGAGGAAAGAAGAAAAGCGAGGGAGATGCGCAAGACCCACGAGATGACGTGGTCTCGTATTGTGACTGCGACACACAAGATTAGCGAGCCGACCGGCCGAAGCTTCGGTCGGTCGACCAGGCGCAAATGTTCCCCAAAAAGAAAATAGCACGGGTGGGAGTCAAACTCCCGACCTCTCAACAGATACCTGTGTTGCTAGCCAGTAAAGATATCATCCGATTGTTGCTAAAGAGCAACACTAAACCTAAAGTGCTATGTACAATGGCAGTTTCATTTTATTCCAATTTTGTCAGCATTTTCTTGGAAAAAAGTGTGAAAAAATTTCAAATTCGAACTAACTTGTAAGGTGTGACATTTATTTTTAGAAAAGTGAACAAAATTTTGAAAAAAACATGAAAAAAAACTTATGAATTCCAAATATTTATTGAATTTTTTGATATATGATGAACAATTTTTAATATATATTTAAAATAAAATATGCAAATACAGACTGAATATTTTTGTGATATATGTTGAACAAAATATTTAAATACACGTTGATCATTTGTGTGATATACACTAAACAATATTTAAAGCACACACTGAACGTTTTTGTGATGTACGCTGAATAATTTTGAAAACACAATGAAGTTTTAAAAAAATATGTTGCACATGTTCTTAATATAAGGTGAACATTTCCCTAAATATACAATGAAGATTTTTGTATATAAACATGCAATGGACTTTTTATAATACATAAAAAAGAGGAAAAGTAAAAAATAAAACAGAAAACAGAAAAAGGATAGTAAAATAAATAGAAACGGAAACAGAAACAGAAAAAAGGAAAAGATAAGATAAAGAAACAGAAAGAGAAAGAAACGGCAGAGCGACATGGGCTGGCCCAGACTGGGGCGTCGGGGGACCCCTCCCTTCAGCGAAGCCACGTCGTTTTGACGCTCGCGCGCGTCAAATAGGGTTTGCCTCCGCGGCGAGGGCCTCGATCGGCGCCGTTGCCCGCCCGCCGACCAACGTCGTCACGCGGCAAGCCTCGCTGCTCCGCCCGACGAGCCTCGATCTCGCGCGTCGCCACGCCCCCGTCGACTCAGACCGCTCCGCCATGACCGACGCCACACGGATGGGGAAGAGGAAGAAGATGGGTGTGGCGAGCGCCGGGCGTTCCTCGACGAGGTCAGGTAAGGCGGGGGTGGCTGCTGAACGGATCAATTCGAGACACAGGGTTGCATCACATCACACGGGAGAAAACAGCGAGAAAAACGAGAGTTGCATCATGCATTTTCATCACGGAGAAGGATACAGATCAAGATCAGATCACAAGGTTTGCAGTTCAAGCACAAAGAAAAGAGACCAGTAACGCACGGTCGCCCTAGTATCTACACCCACTAGACCAGACCACCACCACCCACAAAAATCAAGCCCCCATCCATCCACCCATGGCATCGATCAGGTCCCTCCATCAGTTGCGGTGGTTCTGCAGCTGCAGCAGCCGGGAGTAGGCGCCCTCGGGCCGCGCCACGAGCTCCGAGTGCCCGCCGTGCTCCACGACGCGCCCGTCCTGCACCACGGCGATGCGGTCCACGCCGCGGATCGTCGACAGCCGGTGCGCCACCAGCACCGTGGTCCGCCCCTTCATCAGCCGCTCCAGCGCCTCCTGCAGCACGCTCTCCGACTCGGCGTCCAGCGCGCTGGTCGCCTCGTCCAGGAGCAGGATGGCCGGGTCCTTGAGCACCGCCCTGGCGATGGCGATGCGCTGCTTCTGCCCGCCCGACAGCTGCACGCCGCGCTCGCCCACCGCCGTCCGGTACCCGTCGGGGAGCTGGCTCACGAACGCGTGCACGTTGGCCGTCTTGGCCGCCTCGACCACCTCCTCCTCCGTCGCGCCTTCCTTGCCGTACGCGATGTTCTCCAGGATGCTGGAGGCGAAGAGGGCCGGCTCCTGCTGCACCAGCCCGATCTTGCGCCGCAGGGACTTGAGGTTCAGCCTCCTGATGTCCCTGCCGTCGATCATCACCTTGCCCCCTGTCGGGTCGTAGAACCGCTCGATGAGCGCAATCACAGTGCTCTTACCAGAACCACTAGCTCCAACCAGAGCCTGGCTGCGCCCGGCCTGGATCTTCAGGTTGAAATCCTTGAAGATCTCAATGTCAGGGCGAGACGGATACGAGAAGTCGACATGCCGCAGCTCAATGTCGCCACGAACAGTGGTGACACGCTCTGCCTCCGGATCATCAGGCTCGATCCTCGTCGCCCTGTTGAGGATGCCGAAGATGGAGCGGATAGATTCGCCACCACGGATGATCTCCGGCGCAAGGCTGACCGTCTCGGCGACGGAGTTGGCAGTCACGACAAGGACGACGAAGACCTTGATGACCTTGGAGAATGTTGACCCGTGCGACCGGACCAGATGAGAACCATACCAGAGAATGAGCGCTTCCGAGCAGTAGAGGCAGAGCTGCGAGAGGCCGTACAGAAGGCCCGCGGTCTGGCTGCGTCGCAGGATCTGCTCCTCTGGTATGCGCAGCTCGTGGCTGAAGAGAGACATGACCTTGTTTTGAGCATTGAAGGCCGCCACTGTGCGGATGTTGCTCACGCCTTCACCGGCAACCATGCTGCTCTTGGCGTGTGCCTTTGCTGTGTCACCAGCAAAGCCCTTCATCGAAAGTTGCTGGAAGCATCAAAGGAAACAACACAAATTTAGACCATATCCAGTTACATTTGGTATATTTTCCATACAATGTACACTGCTGACAAAACAAAGCATTGTTCTGATACAGATTTTGATTCAGAAAAAGCGCACTAAAAATTGGTCTCTTTTATCATTTGCATTATCTTAGAGTAAGGTACTCTTCACTAATGAAAAAACTGGTTGAGTGAAAGCCTGAAAGGTAGGCCAAGAAATTACCTGGGCAAAGTTGGCAAGCACAAGAAGAGGGAAAGTGGCCAGAATAAGGATCGCCACTCTCCACTCAATGACAAAACCGACGATGAAAGATGTCATCAGGGACGTTATGTTCTGCAGTATCACTGATATCCTCTCGGCTATCGCCGACTTCACATCAGCCGCATCAACTGCTACACGAGCAGCCACAAGACTAGAGTTGTTTTCTTCTTCATCGAACCAACCAACTTCGTTCCTAAGTATCGCTGCAGAAAATGTCAAAGATTTACCGTAAGTTTAATATGGGACCACAAAAGTACAATGATTATGATCATTTTATGGTACAGCAAGAAATGCATACCAGACAGCATCATCCTCCTAACTCTGGTTGTAAGATTTTCTCCCATTATGCTGAAGAAGTAATGCTGCACAAGATAAGCAACTACGGCGTATATGCCTGTGCCAATATAGATGAACACATAAAGCTTAGTTTTCTTCTCCATTTGAACGGGGTCCTTGTAGTAGAACACGTCGAGCATTTCACCCATAACAATGGCAAATGTTGGGCCGATGAATCCAGATAGAACAGAACCAATAGCACCCAACACCGCATAGGGCCATTCAGGACCATTCAGTTTTAGGAGCTTGAAAAAGTAACCACGTGGTGCTGGGTATTTGAGGCTATTATCTGCACTTGAGATCATCTCGATGCGCCCATCTGCTCCAGTACTGTACTGATAGCTCAGGTTCCGTAAACTTCCCGACCTGAGGCTCAGAGATTTGGTGGACAGAGAGCTTGTCAAGTGCATCGAGCGTGACCTACGGGTAGATGCAGCCCCAAGATCTCTGTTACGTGCGCTTTCCTGAAAGCGAATCAGGGATGCATATGCTCCAGAGGTTCCTTTTGCTAAAAGTTCATCATGTGTCCCAGTCTCAATAACTTGGCCTTGTTGTAACACCGCGATCATGTTTACATTTCTGATGGTGCACAGACGGTGCGCAACAATTACTGTAGTCCTCCCAACCATCAGGCGGTCTAGAGCTTCTTGCACAATGTTCTCCGAGTCTGCATCTAAAGCACTGGTAGCTTCATCAAGGAGCAGTATCTTGGGGTCCTTCAGCATAGCACGAGCAATTGCAATACGCTGTTTCTGACCACCAGATAGCTGAATTCCTCTCTCCCCAACCTATGAAAGAAATGCAAACAAATAAATAATCGATTGATTCAACCTGACATGCATGTTATTAAACATATAAAAGTAGACTAACCATTGTGTTGTATCCATTGGGCAGCAGAGAGATAAAACTATGAGCATTGGATGCAGTTGCTGCAGCCTCAACTTCTGCAATTGTGGCATCGGGCTTTCCATACAAGATGTTCTCAATGATTGTAGTTGCAAAAAGGGCAGGCTCTTGGTTTACGAGTCCAATTTGATCCCTCAGCCACCTCAATTGCAGTGTCTTGATGTCAACATTGTCTAGCAAAACCTGGCCTGCAATTCAAGAGAATTTTATTAAGGGCAATCCAACGGGAGATACATACACAAAAAATAGTCAAACATGAGGCATCGGTGATTAGTCAGGCATTACCTTCATTAGGATCATAGAACCTTTCTATCAGAGCCACAACAGTGCTCTTACCAGACCCACTGCCTCCAACAACTGCAACAGTTTTCCCAGCAGGGAAGAACAGAGAGAAATCCCGGAAGATCATAGCATCAGGCCTTGATGGATAACTGAAAGTAACATCCTTGAATTCAATATTTCCGTGGACCTCCGCCAACAACTTGCCATCCTTATGATCATGAACTATGGAGGGCCTATGACGAATGACCTCCAACAATTTGTATCCAGCAATCTTCCCTTTGCTGAAGGCTCCAAGGTTGGAGAATGCCTGGCCAAGACTCCTGCAGAACCAAAGTTCAAGCAAACACACCAGAGACGTCAGAGCACCAACAACAAGCAAGAGAAAATAGATGAAACAGGAGGATGAATTTTTGCTTACATGCCACCAACGATTGCAGAAAAGATCGCAGTAAAGGCCTTGCCACCATCGCTCTGCCCATTCCTGATGAAGACGCCGGCATACCAGAATACTAGTGCCCATGACATGCACGCTATCCCGTAAGTGCACCCAATACCAAGACCCTTTGCCATCCCAGCTTTGTAACCAAGCTTCAGTGTATTCTGGATTGCTTCAGAGTACGAATTGAGTGCTTTGCTCTCTCCAACAAATGAGTAGACTGTTCTAACTTGCGCAATTGCCTGTGGGAGAATGTTTTATCCCAATTCATAGTCAGCACTATGCATGATGTTCCAAGTAACTTGATTCCACAAGTTACATGACAGTGACAACATTAAAGATTATTTTACAGTTATTCAAATAAAGTGTGGTAAATAAATAAACTCAAGTAATTCTAGGCAGCACTAGAGCATCACGATATCTAGGTCAAGTACATGTAGGCAGTAACAAAGCATAAGGATAACTAGCTTAATCTTTTTTCAGAAAACAACTGGCTAAAGCACCTTTAAACTCCGACGAAAAGAAAATTGCACATGCTTCAAAGCATTTTAGCGCTTTATGTGCACATGACCGATAAATAAACAATTCCGGTAGCATATGGGTGGAATTTCTTTTGGAATACCAGAAAAGCATACACACCAACTCCCTGGTATCCACGGTTGACTATCTACATCCTATGCCGCAAAATGGTCATACTCAACCTCCTATATTCCACTGTCATCACACATCATCTTTAGTTTTCCTTTTTGAATACTACCACATGTTGTCTTCTTCAGTTATTCTCTATGTTCCCCTCAAAATAATCAAGATATCCACAAAAAACTTTATAAATCATCGACATTTAATATGGATCGTAGGGAGCATGTCTTTTTCTGCTGAAGATGGAGTAAAATTTGCTGGACATAGTTGATTATAAAAATAAAATGAGAGATGATATTTGTAGGCACTCTGAAAACCAAAATATAAATGTAGGCTCGGTGGGCCACTATGGCTAGAAGGGTAGCATGTCATGTAAGTCTGCTTGAAGCACAAACAAACGACAATATCGGCGCAATGCGCTGCCCCCACCCTAGTTATGGAATTGCTCATAGGATTCCCAGGGAACAAAGGTTCAAAGGCATTAAAGCGATGTTGGTCAGTTCTCAGTTGTCATGCTGCATAAGAGTAGTACAAAAGATTTCTCATGTTTGGTTCCTGATCAGCAGGCACCACCAGAAAATTACCACCCCACCTACCCACCACCCTGAATTCAGGCAGGGAAGTCCATGGACGCACTACGCATGATGCATAGATTAATCCGACACAAATCCTAGGCGGATCCGCGACAAAAATCCTATGACGGGGAATGGCCATCGCCGATTATTGTTACCTGCTCCGCGACGACGCCGGCATTGGCGTAGGACTCGCGGCTCTTGGAGGTGAGGCCGGTGAGCGTGTAGGCGTAGAGGCCGCCGGCGAAGGCGATGGCCGGGATGACGGCGACGCTGAGCAGCGCGAGCCGCCACGCGGAGACGAAGCCGACGACGAGCCCCGCGAAGAAGGTGGCCAGGTAGTGCATGAAGTTGCCCACCTTCTCGCCGATGGCGTCCTGCACCAGCAGCGTGTCGGTGGAGACGCCGAAGACGATGTCCCCCGTGCGCGCGTCCGTGTCGAAGAACCCCACGTCCTGCCGGAGGACGGCGTCCAGGTACGCCTTCCGGAGCGCGATCACCTGCCGCTCCCCGGTGTACATCCAGCACGCGATCTCTGCCGAGAACCCAAACAAATATTGTTACGGCTTCGGTCACATTGATTCCAAGATGGTACTGCTATGCTACGGCTTCCACCGGCGCCGGCGCGAACTCCGGCGAGGTCGAACACGCCGGAGTCCATGCCGGAGAAGGCGACAAACGTAATTATTGTTAATTTGTCCCTGTTTGTGGCGGGATGGCGACGGGACGGGACTTGTGTTAGTGAGTGGGGTGGTCTCCGAGAGATGCCCCACCGGCCATGACCAGATCCCGTTTTGCGCATAGGCCCCTGTGGTTCCCGTTGTGCTCGGAGAGAGCCTTTGAGCGCCGGAGGAAACGAGGGGAGAGTGGCGTGCCGGGTATTTTGCGGAGATGGAGGGAGGGCGCCGGACGGAGACGAGGAGCTCACCTGCGTAGGAGGCGACGCAGACCACCAGTCCGAGGTAGACGAAGTAGAGCGCATACTGCAATGGAGGAGGAAAACCAATCAGTGGTGAATGAACACTGGTGATCTTTGCAAGATGAATGATCCGTGAATAAATCGGGGAGAACATCGATCGAGCAGTGGGAGTTGAGTGGGAGAGATTAATGCTAGTACGGACCTTGGCGACCTCGTCGGTCATGGCGCGGAGGTCGGTCTGGTTCTTGCCGAAGCCGTTGATGAGGTCCCCGAAGAGCAGGAAGAAGCAGGGCATGGCGGCGCCGTGCGCCAGCGCGCCGAGCGTGCCCAGCGACATGAGCGCCAGGTCCCACCGGTCGGCGAAGGAGAAGAGCTCGTGGAACGCCACCGCCTGGTCCGCCCGCTTCTTGCCCTGCCCCGCCGCCGCCGCATCGCACCCTGCCGATCCGTTCGCCGCCTTCTCCATCTTCTCCGCCTTGCCGTCCCCCGCCGCCGCCGGGTCCGACATCGCAATGAGCAGCTCCTCGACCCTCGCCCGCTCGCTCGCTCGCACGCGCTCTCAGGCCGCCATTGACGCCGCCGCGGCCGGGAGCATTGGACGGCGAGGCAGGGGTCTCCCTCCGGCCACTGCTTGGCCTTGCTTTCTTGGATTGGGGCGCTGGCTCTGGCCTCGGGTTTCGTGACGTGCAGGAGAGGTTTGTGGGAGGGGATGGGGGAGGAGGGTGGTGGTGCCTTTGTGCTCCGCGCCGCGGTGGTGGTCAGAAGTAGGCAGGGCCTTGGGGCGAGAGATAAAGAGGAGAGTGCCGAGGCGGGGTCAGAAGATCGGACCAACTGGTGGAGTGGAGTGGTGGCCTCACTCGCGGTGAGCTCACTCTGTTTTCCTTTTCCCAGCTAAATCGTGCGATCCAAAATTTGCAGCCCCTCGATCTTCCATAGATGTACACGGGACAGTTCACAATCACATCAATCACGATTTACCCCATGATGATCACGAAGGGAATTACACACACAATCTAATTGTTTGTGTTGCAACCATGCATACATATTTTAGCAGTGATCTTTCCTCCATGATACTTTTCATAATTATTAGTTTGATCATATCCAAAGTTTGATGATATTCTTCGTAATTTACAATGTGATTCTTGCCAAAGAATGGTGTTCTTCCTAAGTCACGTATAATCCTCTCATCCTATGGTCAAAGATATTTTTAAAATTTATATGATCCTTCCGTCCAAAGATTGGTACTCTTCATAATTAACGTGATCCTTCCGTCCAAAAAAGATACTCTTCATATTCAACGTGATCCTCCTCTCGCGATGATACTTTTCATACATTGATGTCTGGCTAATGAATTGCATGTGTTTGTGGGACGATTTTAGGGCATCAATGGCTGCCTGTGAAATGAACGACACGACTACGGACTCCCCTTTGATTGTACTTCCTCCGTCACAAAATAAGTGACTCGGTTTTGTACTAGCTTTGTACTAAAGCTAGTACAAAGTTGAGTCGCTTATTTTGAGATGGAGGGAGTACATATGGCTCTCACCCCGCATCAAAATAGTTAGGCCCGTTTGGAACAAATGAATTTACAGATTTTTCATATGAATGGGATCATATAGGAAATTTTTCCTATCTGACCTTTGTATGACAACCCCTTTAACACGTCGGGTTGCGAGTATTTGTTAGTCGTGTGCAGGAGCTGTTTACGTTGTGTTGCATGGTTCTTCTAATGGTTCGCTAACCTTGATCTCACTGAGGGAAATACCTACTATCGATATGCTGCATCATCCCTTCCTCTTTGGAAAAATACCAATGTAATTCTAGCCGACATTACGTGTGCATTGTGTTTAACCACATAGTTCAATACTGATGTATTCCCTCCCAACCCCTTTCTAGTAAGGGTTAAAAATATCATCTTCCCCTTAAAACCAGGGCCAACAAGTAGGCCACACAAACAGGGAGATTGTCCTAGCCCAGATGAGCAAGAAGCCAACTACCAAGTGCGTCGTGATCACTTTCTATTTATTACAATCAAAATGATAGTGAATATGTAGGGTAAACCCCAATTTTGAGAACTAAGTCTGCACTAGAAAACACCACGTAGAAATAAATCAATGATCGTCGACGGCTATTTTTCAATAGGCTCTACAAGTTGTACTAAAGACCATATTAGCTACAGTGCTGCAATTTCAATACAAGTACAATCCAAATAGAGGTAATCAATAGGTTATTGAACCCAATATTACATGCCATATGTAGTAAGCAATCCAACAACTAAAAAAGGACACATTTGACTCCCAAAAAATAAAACAATATGTTAATGATCCGAGATAATATCCGTTTATACACCATCTATATTCCAGATTTTTTAATTTGGTGATCCTAAACTAGAAACATTTACCAACGTATACTTATACCATACAATTTATAGAACTCTACCAAGACAGTTAAGGATGCACATAAGACATATACACCATACTCATGCATGTGACACAAAATTATCTTATGAGATAAGTGATTTTGCCTTTTTCTCTCTCACATTTTTAGAGGGACTATTAAAGATCTTTTCAATGCGTGATGTAGTCAAATTTAAAATAATATGTAACTTTTTATCACAAAACATGACCTGAATTTAGCACAACATATTAGTTCCATTATAATTAATAAAAATACATTTAAAATAACTAGAACCTATAGGAATTTTTAGTATAAATAATTATATTTATTTTGAGTCACCAAAGGGCCAACAAATTGCATAGAACAACTCAAAAAAGTGCACACATAAACAAAACGGTTCGTTGTTTGTGAGATTGAGAGGCAAAAGTGATGAAGGTTGTTCCTGCAGAAAATTGATTCGAACATCAGCACCAATTCCTCACTTTCATGGAAGTATACCGACCATCTTTCAGTGCAAAACTGTAAAGATGAGCCAAACCCTAGGGTTGCTAAGGTTAGGCTGAAGCTACGAGCTAGGTGTTGGAAAGAAAAGAACATAAGGGCACAAGTAACGTAAGGTTGTAAAAAAGGATCGATTGGTTGTCTGTTTTCAGTCGGCCATATACCCCTTTATATATAAGGATATGCCTGGACTATGGTAGAAGGAATAGGACTCTTAGCTAGTCACGTCTCGTTTCATTGGCATGCAAGCCTAATATAATATCTAATTCCTAACTAGTTCGGTCAGCTCCCTAAACATACGAGACATCTGCCTTGGTTTATACTAGCACATTTAAAACAAAACAGAAGCTAGCCAACTTACCTCCAGGAGGCTCCCCCGATTGGCCCTTCGTTGGCCATCGGATCTGTCTTTCTGGCTTGTCTGGCCCGTTGGATCTTCACCTCGCGGTTAAACTATTTTCACCTCGCAGTCGTTTTTACTGTCCAATGACGAGTGGGCTCGTCTCGCACGCTCGTTGGCTGGGTTGGCCGCGCCGGCGTGCAGGAGGTTTTCCCCAATCTGCACCCCGCGTTCCTCATCCAATCCATCCTCGCCTCGTCCCACTCTCGCACCAGCCACCACCCAAACCCTAGCCCCCTTTCCCCTCGATCCCCACAGCCTCTCCCGCCTCCTCCATCCCTCCTCCTTGCCTCGCCATGGCCTCTGCCCCGGAGCCTCGCCGCTGTCGCCGCCCATGCGAGCTCGGTGGCGGGATGAACGGACAGGGGAGGTGGGTGATGAGGGCTATTCCATCCACCAGATCCACGCCGCTCCTGCCCAAATCCTCTCCTCGTGCACCACACCCAATCCCGTCCTCGCTCATCTCGTCCCATGGCCAGCTCCCCATCCTCCTACAGTTCCCCTCCCTTTCTTCCTTCTCCTCCCTCACGATACGCCGCCTGTGTCCATCCCGCGTCCTCGCTGCCGCCACAGCTTCTCCAGGAGGCTCGCCCTCCGTGTTGCAAAGCAGCAAGCCCAGACCTGGAGGAGGAAGAGGAGATCCCGGGGTCCAGGCGATGGCTCGGTCGATGCAAGGTGACGACGAGCTGATGAGCGTGGGCGGTCAAGACTACCATTGCAGCTTTGGTGGTTGCGCACATGTCAGCGAGCACATTTGATGCCACACACCGAGGTGAGCTTCTCTCTCTCTCTCTCAACTTGTACTACACTGCATACAATAGCTTCTCGTTGGCCATGTGTTATTTGGAGATTGTTGCTCCATGTTGTTTCGCTTGATTAGGTTCAGAAGATGATTGTAGCAGTTAGTCCAATTAGTATTTTTTTCATATGCTTTGAATAAAACTGTGTATAGAGATCATGTTGTATACACTTAGGATGCATACAATCATTTTTGCAGGTTCAAACAGGAGAAGAAGTACTATCTTGCTTGCCTGAAATTGATAGGAGCTCAGTCTGAATGTCGGATGTTCTTGAAGAAATACCTGGAATGTAGGATGGAGAGGTTAGCATGCTTACTCCATGTGTAATAATTTCAGAACTACTGTGTTGTAGTAATGTGTTTAGCTAAACCTCTTATTTGGCACATCCATAATTCAAACCAGTTTATGCGTGATGATTTAGGGTGTGTTTTTCTTTTTTGCTACTTTAAATTTAAATGCTCAAGAAATTTGATAAGCGTAGATTGCAGTTGCAGAGAGTATGGGCATAAAAGTTTTGAAGAAATTTGTGAAGGTTGTCATTAAGATCTTTGAAGAGAGATATCTCACCTGGTAATTTGCCTGGTGATATTGTCACTAAAGTTTGTATTTGACAATAGCCTTAACAGTTAGAATGAGTAAACATTCTGATTGGGGAAGTCTTCTCTGGTTTATGAGAGCCTATGAGAAACTACAAAAGCAAAAAAGGGCATGCTTTGATATTTCTTTATGTGGTTGCCACATTCAAACAGGAGAAGAAGTACTATCTTGCCTGCCTGAAATTGATAGGAGCTCAGCCTGAATGTCAGATGTTCTTGAAGAAATACCTGGAATGTACGAGGAGAGGTTAGCATGCTTACTCCATGTGTAATAATTTCAGAACTATCGTGTTGTAGTAATGTGTTTAGCTAAACCTCTTATTTTCTACATCCATAATTCAAACAAGTTTATGCGTGATGATTTAGGGTGTGTTTTGCTTTTTTGCTACTTTAAATTTAAATGCTCAAGAAATTTGATAAGTGTAGGTTGCAGTTGCAGAGAGTATGGGCATAAAAGTTTTAAAGAAATTTGTGAAGGTTGTCATTAAGATCTTTGAAGAGAGATATCTCCTTGTACCAAGTGAAGCGGATGCTACAAGGCTTCTGCAGATGGGTGCATCAAATGGATTCCCTGGTATTTGTGGAAGCATAAAATGTATGCATTGGAGGTGGTAGCGTTGCTAAAGATCAACATATTGTAGCAGTAGTTTTTACTGTGAAACATAAGCTCTTTTTACAGTGCAATTATTAAATTGTAGTAGTAGTTTTTCTTGCAGCTTGTACTAGTAGTTTTTCTTGTCAAAATCAGTCCTTTCTCTGTACTTGTTGATCTTTTTAGTCTGAATTTTCCAGCCAATTCAGGATTTTTGTTTTG